TGTCTAGCAGTGGACGTCATTTGGCTGAAACTGTACCTTGTGCATGAATTGTTTACTGTTCAAAGTTACCCTGAAATTCAAAGATGACTGAACCTCGATAACAAATGTTATCGACATCGTCCCTTCACTAGAACCTTTTGTTCTCTATCGCGTGCTACCGATATGGATCGGAGACCGTTCAGCGTGCGTGAGGGTTGAGGAACATGCCCAAGAATGCTGTAGCCAGGGTTAGTTAAATTTCGTTAGAATTTGGTTACAGGACAGCATGATATGCTAACCATAGCAGCAATACTCAATACTCAATAATTATGTTTATTGCTTCCTTTATAGTACATTTATTTGTTACATATTTTATATGTATTTGGAGATCATTAAAAGGACTGTTGGGCGCTGCAAACTTAAAATCTATAGGAGAGTAGGCTTCTTTTTTATAGATAAAGTTATAGTTTAGTTAGGTACATCGCTAATGAATTTTATCGTCTAGATATTCTTTTATGGTGTAATAGCATTTCGCTCTTTTAGTCCTGTTATGAATATACTATTATTATTTTCTTTTAATAAATGATCGGGCAATTTGTTATATTTTTATGGCCATATTGTAGGTGCTTGAAGAAGATTTTAGGCGGATGGTTGGTATTTTTAATTTATTTTTATTTCTCAAATGATATTTTTTATTGGTAAAAAACTCAAAGTGGGAGCGGATTTAAAATGTAACTGTAAAACGCAACTCCTATGTAGTCGTAATAGGGTTGGTTTTCCAACAAAAACTGTCTATGCCTTCTGTAAGACTGCTCGCGAGGGTTCATAATCTGTATTATACAGCACATCTACGTATACTAGCGGCCGCCCGCGACTTCGTACGCGTGGATCCCGTTTTACCCCCAAGGATTGAATTTTTCAAAATCCCGTCTTAGTGAGCACCTACGTTCTAAAAGGAACCCCATGCAAAATTTGAGACTCCTAGCACTTGTAGTTTCTGAGATTTCGCTTTTTCGCTGAAGAGTTTAAGTTTGTTTGAATGCGCTAATCTCAGGAACTACTGGTCCGATCTGAAAAAAATATTTTTGTATGGTCATTTATCGAGGAAGGCTTTAGGCTACATCACCCTACAGCCAATAGGGGCGGAGCAGTAAAGAAAAATGTTGCAAAAACGGGAAATATATTCAAACTATTTTCACGCGTACGAAGCCGCGGGCATAGCTAATCTATATCTATATCTATATCTATATATACAGGGTGTTTCTTGTAAGGTGTCAAGCCGAAGGCAGGTGATAGGTGAGGACTAGACCTATCGATTTCACCCCCATGTATGTTCTACGATTTTTCGTAGTTTAGAAGTTATCGTTAATTTTGTGATTTTTTCAAATTTCATGACCTAGTGGCTTAATTTTTTTTTATCTTTTTTTTGGGTTGACTTTTCTCAGATTTCTTTTTTTTTCCAGATTCCCTATTAGTTGCAGATATTTGAAAAAAATAATCACCTTCCTATCTTTGATGCAAGATACAAAATTTTTGCTAGAAACATAAAAAATATGCTTTTAGCAGAACATTCTAAAATTTTCAACTGAAATGTATGAGAAAAAAAAAGAATTTCCATAGGTCCAAAATAATTTTAAAAACTGCGCAGTTTTCTAAACTTTCATAATAACACAAAAAAACATGTACTTAATAGGCCATTATTTTCTGTAATCGCTCGAGAGAGAGAGAGAGAGAGCAAAAAAGGGTGTAATGATTTAATTTAAAGTAAATGTTCAAAATGTCCGTCGCTGACCTGAATGCACATTCGACAACGACGCAAAACAATCATTCGTAAATTTACAAAAGCTTCTTGCATTCTAATGTGGTTTATCATCAAAATTTTCATATTCCCTTTTGTATACCACATGAAGAGCAAAAGCTTCCACGTTGTGGATAAAAAAAATCTTTTCAGTTACTGTCTCTAAATGTGTTCTACATAACGTAAACTTAGGGGATTGCAAATATTACTTAGTCCTAAGAAAGTCAAAAACATGTAACGGAATCTCCGACTTTCCACTTTAGTGGAGCGATTACAGAAAATAATGGCCTATTAAGTACATGTTTTTTTGTGTTATTATGAAAGTTTAGAAAACTGCCCAGTTTTTAAAATTATTTTGGACCTATGGAAATTCTTTTTTTTTCTCATACATTTCAATTGAAAATTTTAGAATGTTCTGCTAAAAGCATATTTTTTATGTTTCTAGCAAAAAATTTGTATCTTGCATCAAAGATAGGAAGGTGATTATTTTTTTCAAATATCTGCACTTAATAGGCAATCTGTCAAAAAAAAGAAATCTGAGAAAAGTCAACCCAAAAAAAAGATTTAAAAAAAATTAAGCCACTAGGTCCTGAAATTTGAAAAAATCACAAAATTAACGATAACTTCTAAACTACGAAAAATCGTAGAACATACATGGGGGTGAAATCGATAGGTCTAGTCCTCACCTATCACCTGCCTTCGGCTTGACACCTTACAAGAAACACCCTGTATAAAAGAAAGTCGTGTTAGTTACTCCACTTATAACTCAAGAACTGCTGAACCGATTTAGCTGAAAATTGTCAGGGAGGTAGTTTAGAGCCAGGAGAAGGACATAGGATACTTTTTATCCCGTTCGACAGCATTCCCGTGTGACTTGACATGAAACGTCAGTCACTATAAAACGTGGTATAACAAAAAAGAATCAGACTTGGAATAACAAACCACGCGGGCGAAGCCGCGGGCGGAAAGCTAGTCTATATATATAAAAGAAAGTCGTGTTAGTTACTCCACTTATAACTCAAGAACGGCTGAACCGATTTAGTTGAAAATTGTCAGGGAGGTAGTTTAGAGCCAGGAGAAGGACATAGGATACTTTTTATCCCGTTCGAAATTAAAAAAAAAGTCTGCTTATTTATTGCCATTAAGGCGGAACAAAGTTCGCCGGGTCAGCTAGTAAGTTATAAAATCATGGTTGCCAACAGAGTCCTTTCAGCCTTTTTGGAGACAAGAATTGAAAAACATGAGCATAATTAATTATCCACGCAGTCTATAGTCATAATTCTTATAAATCGGATTCGTAACACTGATAACATTATCAGTGATAACACAACACCTGCATGCCTGATGACCATTTCGTAATTTTGGCCGTTGTTTCTATGGACTCTAAAAATCAATAAAAATTAGTCTAGTCTCCCAAATATAATTGAGTTTTTAGAAAAAATGGGTAACTACACTCGGCGTCAAAAAATCGCACGTCCCGCGATCAGCACTTTGAAAGTGCATCCTCACTTCCCACCAATATTTAATTGGTACCACCAAGATTGTATCAGAAGAAAATCTTTATTTATATTGTCGCGGGAGGAGCGATTTCTTTGACGCCAATTAGTGTAGTTACTGAGGCAATTACCCAAATAATCATAATTAATTATCTCGGATTTATCGTTAATAATAATTACGCACTGCATTCGCATAATATCAGAGAGTTATCAGTCTGAGGCATTTGTACTTGCATAAGGCTTAAAAATTGCTCCGACGATTGCAAAAATCTATTTTAGATAGTCTAATTTCTTTGACCTATGATTAAAATTATCTATTGATTCAAAAAGAGCCTGGCAAAGGTGACTGAGTTTCTTCCGCCACTTCTTCTCCGCACCAGCCGATGTTGTCCCGAAGTGGTGGTAGGGCAAGCTATATTAGGGACGTGTATAAGTGCCCTGAAAAGGGCCGACTTATAAATATTTTGATTTTTACCGCAATGATCCGGCTTGTCAATTATCCTATGACATTTCCTAAACAAATTTACCTCCATAAAAAGCTATGTTTGGTATAGACAATTTTCTAACCGGCCCTTTTTCTTTGCGGTCCAAACGGGACTATTCCCACCTCTCGTTCCCACCGCTGCAACTCCTGTGTAGCCAGGATCTACAGCTTGACCGCCAATAACCCAACCAGTGAAAGTCAAGTTTTTCCCGGGGAAAATTAAACTGTCATTCATTGGACCCGCATCGAAATTAATCAGAAGTTAAGTAGTTTGCGGTCCAATGTAGAAGTTTTTTTTAAGCTTCTCTAGACGTGAGAATCTGAAAGTACACAAGTCATTAAATTTATTAAAATCATACTGATCACAACTAAGTATAGTGATAATATAACATTTATCGTCTGCTGAACACCTGCATATTGTCCGATAAATTATGATAGCGTAGAGCGAATGATTGGATAGAGCTGACATTAAAAATAATAGTACATATTTAGACTAACCTCTAGTCTACATCACCCACCAAGTGGACCGACGACCTCATAAAGGAAGGGAAGGCGCTGGATGCAGGCCGCCACCAACCGGTCATTGTGGAAATCATTGCGGAGGCCTATGTTCAGCAGTGGACGTCATATGGCTGAAATGATCATGATGATGATGATGATGATGAACGAGAGATGCAAATATCTTCATCTTCTTGGCTTCGTACGCCATTTTTAACCGACTTCAACAAAAGGAGGTTCTCAATTCGATTGGTATTTTTTTTCTATGTATGTATGTACGATTACGCCGAGATTTCTGAGCCGATTTACGTGATTCTTGTTTTCATTGATGCGAAATAGTTGCCATTTGGTCCCATAAAAATTTTATTTGATATGGTTGAGTAGTTTTTATTTTATGAGCATTTTTAGTTTTTAGCACGCTCGCGTGAAAACTTTGTTCGTGACAATTACGTCGTCTAGGTATATTTATGTAATCGATGTTCACCGATTACTTATAGATTTCTCGTCCAATTTGAGTGATTCTTTTTTGTTCAATAGTAGATACTTGCCATTTGGTCCCATAAACAATTTCATTTAGTTTAACTTAGTCGTTTTTATTTTATGAGCATGAGTTTCGAACAGAATTTTTTCGGAATCGGTTTCTTTTTAGCCTATCAATTCGAGTCTAAAACTTCATAATACCGCTATATTAGTTTATCACGGAATTATCTCTTATCAATAATTATTCCTTCGTTCTTTCGATTATTGTATCACACGTGTGGCCGATTGTGGTGGTGGTCTGTGGTCCTTCAGAAAAATGGTTGGCGAGAAAATATTACTGGTTTTAGGTAAGTTATTGTTTTTTGTTTATTTTTAAGCCACGTCATACAGGATGTTTAAATCATTGGCATATTTTTAATTCATCTGGTTTTAGGTAAGTAATAGAGTGTTATGTTTATTTTTACGCCATATATCTACTATATAAAAAATAAGTCGGGTTTTCCTCCCTGACGCTATAACTCCATAATAACGCACGAACCGATTTCCACGGTTTTGCATTCGTTGGAAAGGTCTCGGGCTCCGTGAGGTTTATAGCAAAGAAATGTAGACCACGCACGAAGCCGCGCGGGCGAAAAGCTAGTACAGGATAAAAATTAAAACAACCATCCTTTGACTTCATTGGATTTGTCTCTTATTTGGGGAATGTAGAGTCATATTTTTTAAAGGATGCCAATAAATTTCATTCTGTAGAGCAGGGGTCTCCAAACTTTGAAGCCTTGGGGCCATATATTTTATTCGGTATGTCGCAAGGGCCATAGGTCATAGACATAGGCTTAATCTTAAAAGCGGTCGCGGGCCGGATTGGTAGCAGTGGCGGGCCGGATATCGCCCGCGGGCCGTAGTTTGGAGACCCCTGCTGTAGAGAGATTTGACCTGCAAGGCTAATGGCACAACCTTAAGATGCCCTTTTACTATTTTCTGGTCTGTTTTAAGAGGGCCACCCTTCAAGTTTCATTTTTCACAACTAATGTAGCCTTTGCACTTCTTCTAATTTATTAAATTAGCCACTAAAACGAAAAAATATTGGCTTGAAATTGATTCAATGAATTAGGCTAGAAAAGTAACACTCACATAGAATCCCTTTCACATGCTTATCAATAAGAAACTTATGTCAACTAACTTAGCCACAACAAATCTGACGACATCGTCACTGCAATGCAGGATACTGGATAACGCTATCTATGAGCGAAAAGTAGAACTAACTTCCTTAGACGCGACGCCAGCATAAATAGATGACTACAAAATTTACCATTTATCCGATACCATTAAGGATAACGCCATCTATGAGCGAAAAGTAGAACTAACTTGTATGCGGGAAGCCATTATAAAAAGTGCTGTATCCTACATTTTCACAACTAGCATGGTGTTTTTACAGGATGCATCCTCCACAGCCACTCAGTGCTGGCCATCTGGTCGTGTTCCCAAGACACAGACTGTTCCAGCATGGTTGACAGCGTTTGCGTGAGCGGCGCGTGCATCTGTCCATCAGGAAAGCAGGCAGTGCTGGGAGGCACAGCCTGTGCTGATCGTAAGTACCAGTACCATACCTGATTATGCTGATAAGTACCTGTGCCACATCCAGACTCAATACTCAATACTCAAATCTTTATTGCATTTCACACCTCTTAGATCCGGTTTCCATGAGTGTGAGTTTACATCAAACCGTTCACTAGTGAGCGCGTAAAAATGACATTAAATGTATGACGGATTGTACAGCGCCCCTAGCGGAAACTTTTAAGAACTAAAGTTTTCATATATTTTTTAAACGTTCACTAAACTCACACTAAGCCCTCTGTTTTGAACGTGTTTTGAATAACTAATCAGATTTCGTTCGAGAATAACTACTAATTGCTATTTTGTAATAGGTACTTTTTTTAATAGTCCCGTTAGCCCCGCCTAGTTGTAAGCTAAACTTGAATTCATCTGTCTATTAATTTTGCTATATTTATTTTCTTTCCCGAGATTTTAATCTGGGTGTATTCAAAGCACGTACGTACCATCCTAGACTGCATCTCACTTAACATATTTATTATTGCAGTCAAATACCTAAGCAGGTATTTGACTGCAATAATATGTTAAGTGAGATGAGTACTAAGCAGTACTGCATAGAGAAATCACCATTTTTTTCGTCTTCAGTTTTGTTAATGTTTTTTATCAATTTGTAAGTTGTTATTTCTCTTTCCAGTGGCCCCATACTACTGGTCTCCCTGCATGGACGACTTCCAGTGTTCCAGGCTGTTCACAGGCTTCCAGTGTCGAAGACCTGCAAATTCTACTTCACAAGGTATGTCCAAAACCTCCAGACACTGTCATTAGTAATGACATTAATATTACTGTCATTCCTTCCTTCGTTATCATCATCATCATTTCAGCCACAGGACGTCCACTGCTGAACATAGGCATCCCGAAATGATTTCCATATTCACCGATTGGTAGCGAGCGACCTGCATTCAGCGCCTTCATGCCACTTTTATGAGGTCGTCGGTCCAGCTTGTGGGTGGCATACTAGCATAATAACAATGTTCAGTAACAATAACAACAGTTCCTTCGTGGTTGAGGATTCCGGGTGAAGCTCGCGCCCAAGAGCTTCTATTAAAGTATGTGTTGTAACAGGCATGTATGCAGGGCCGGACCGTGAGTTTAGGGGCCAAATTCTACTTAGGGGCCCACCTATTATACTCTTTGGCACTATCGTCTATTTTTGACTTTGACTTGACTTAGCTGGGGGCCCCTCGAATCCACGAGGCCCTGGGCTGAAGCCCAAAAAGCCATATGGTAGATTCTGATGTTACGTAGGGGAGACCGGGTACAATAGTACCACGGGTCAATAGTACCATCGGCGATATTTCTTCATACAAGCGACGTTAGATTGTGTGCATAGCGTCAGAATATGCGTTTTTTGTGTTTCCATCCGCTCACCAGTCGGCGGCGCTTGTGCTGAGAAACGAAGGTGTACAGGAAGGATTTTTGTTTTTTGCCCAGCCGCAGTAAGTTTTTATGTCAAATATATGAGCCCATAAGTTGCCTAATATGCTATTTGTTACCAAAGTATTGTTGTCAATAGTTTATCCAGGCTCTAAACTTTGTATCGACAGCGAATTATTGGCATTCACTGTGAAAATGACTGAATTTTAGGTGAGTTCTCTTGACTACCTACTTGGAACAATTGTACCAGTCTCCATGGGGTCAATTGTAGCGGTACAATCAACCCCGTGGTACAATTAACCCCCGGAACCTTATTTTATACTTACTACATAATATTTTAAATTGGTTTTAAAGTACCTATACTTATAATAAGATAAGTTATTATAAAACATTCACGTGGTTATTTTACATTTTTACAATTATATTTTTACAATTACAGGCATACCTACCTACTGAAAATATAGTCTAGGCTCATTCATAGTTGCATGCATTAAGCATTAATTAGATACATACTTAATGTGTTTTATTAAATAAGTAGATAAAAAGGTGATATAAGTACCTAAATGCCTACTTAAAATGTTTTAATATAGGTTTCTAAAACCCTTCTGAATATGTACATTTTAGCTTAATTCAGTAAGTAACTAAGTATTTGAACATTTTGTTTTAGATGCCTCGGCGTAGAGTCAAAAGTACGGATCGCGGATCAACGGATCTATTCCTTTATGAACAGGCTTATGAAAAAATCTTAAAAGGTCGAAGCAGTAGTAGGTATAAATAATCAGGGTCAATTGTACCAGGGGTCAATTGTACCCTCATACAAAAATAGATTTTTCAGTTTTGATATTTCTATCATTGTTATTATGCTTATTGTTGTTTCAGAAGCAATATCCGAGCCAAATAGATGGCATATAATGTAGAAACAGTTAGTTTTTTCGTTTTTATGGAAGAAAAGTTATTGTGTAGTTTTTAAACTTAAGTGTTGATTTTTCATACTTGTTCCTAAATATTTTCGATCTCAATTAATAAAGACTGATGATTGTAGGAGATTAAGAGAACAGAATACCAATAAAGGTGATGATTAGATAAACATAACTACTTTTACTGCCTCATATATTATTGGTACAATTGACCCGTTGTAGGGGTCAATTGTAACATGAGACATCGTACAGTTCAAATTCGTTTTTCATTAAGTATTCGAAATAATAGTTCAACTCTGCATGCTTAAATTTGTAGCTTAAGAGTCTAGTTTTTACAGCATCCTAACAGAATAAGTTACATTTCATTAGATTTCTCAATATTGAACAATTTCCAAAAAATGGTACTATTGTCCCCGGTCTACCCTACAAATAAATTATTTTCTCCTTCCAGTAGGCAACTGCTTCTGCCAAGAAGGCTTTCACTACTTCAGAGGGCGGTGTTGGCCCTCCTCTGGGCTAGGAGAAGAGTGCACCCGCGATGAGGAGTGCCAGGGAGTGCTCAGAGATCCCTTCAGCATGACCTGCAGTGGAACCTGCGAATGTGCTGAGGGGTACTACTTTAGGCAGAGGGGGGAGTGCAGAAGGATGGGACTGGGTAAGCTATTTTGCACTTTAAGTTTCACTAATTAAAAACTGATTTGGAGTCTTACATTTTATTGGTCCTTCGAGCCGGATAAATGGCTATTAAAGCAATTTTAAGCTATATGATGCTAGACGAATCCCGAACAGATGCAATAAACTTGCAATATTTCCGAAAACTTTGGGACTATTGTGCCTAAGTTACATTTAAATTTTGCAGAGGTTGGAGACAGATGTGTGATAGACCAAGACTGTCACTTTGAAGGTGGAGCCTGCCATCTGACTAACTTGGAGTGCTTCGATACAAACGCTGGTAAGTGCTGATAATATTACTTTTGGAAACCATAATTTTGATAAAAAAATAGTGTTCTTTCAACCAAATAGTAGGGTCATGCCCGTTTTCACCATTGATCCCTAATTTTTAAGTGACCCTTATGAAAACAAAATTCCTGTTATCACTTAAAAATTAGGGATTGAAGGTGAAAACGGGCATTAGGCTCTTTCCAGGGTACTTGTATACGTCCCAAATACAGGGTGGAATTTTGTAATGCCACCTGGAGGGAAAGTACTCTTAATACTGTAGATAGAAAATTCTACTAAAAGAAAACATTACTTTATTTTTGAAAAGTAAAAAAACTGTATTCAAAGATTTTCAAAAAAAAATCGAAAATTCTCTACCATACCAATACCATTTACCATACAATTTCCTGTACAAAATTAAAATAATTTAAGATTTCATGGTTTTCCTTTCACTTGATTTATCAAGTTTGTAAGAGAGATTTCATCCTTATACTTAACCCTAACGATCGATGCAATAAAAATACAGGGTGTAATTTTTAACAGATTTTAGTTGGTTTGATTCCCGGGTGTGGCAAGCAATTTTTTAGAAACCTTTGAATGCAGTTCTTTTTCTTTTCCTAAAATCCTAAATTAAGGAATGTTTCCTTTGAGTAAAATTTTCTATCTACAGTATTAAAAGTATTTTCCCTCCAGGTGGCATTACAAAATTCCACCCTGGATAGCTTGTCCTATCACCACTTCGGAACAACATAATATGGACTAGCGTGAGAAGAAGTGGCGGAAGAAATTCAGTCACCTTTGTCAGCCTCGTAGTGAATTAATAGGATACAGGATTTTTTAAGATTATTAGTAATTCGCTATTGCACAAATTAGTAAAAGTCCCGTTAGCCCCTCGTACTAAACTAAAATGCTGGTGTCACGAGTGTGCTCACCACAATAGTCGAGCGGCGGCGGGGACCGAACCCGCGTTCCCCGGGTCGCGAGTCGGCCAGTGCTGCAGTGCAAGCCATTCACCGTTCGGCTATCGTGGCTTCAAATGAATAATTCAAGACATGTAATTCTTATGTAAACTTTACTTTGTGTTACTTATGAAATACAAGCTTCTTTTAGCTTAGTTTAGGCATCAGTCTCCCACAATAATCTATTTTTACCAGACGCTAGATCTTTGAACTAATATGTAATAGAAAGAAAGAAACATTTATTGCCATGGACATCACAAAAGACAAAAGATGTTAATAAAAAAAAATCAAATAAGACAGACATAAAACATACAATGGAAGAGAAAGTAAATTGAGCAGTGCCACCCTGTCGCGCAGCGATGCCCATCGCAATGGGACCCCACTCAGCATATATGTATATGTCGTGACCCCCGGTGAGGAATGCCACGAAGATGGTTTTCAGTGTGCCCCATGCCGATGTATTAGTAGTATCATGTAATAGTGGTTGTGGAGAGAAAATAAACCATTTTATTTTAATAAAAAAAAATTCTAACATTCCCAACAGAGACAAAAGCCACAAATAGCACCGACACCGATCCATCTGAAGACACCCGGTCCTTTTCATCTGAAGCAATTACCCTGTATGGACAGACGTGTGACGCTGCAGATCCCTGTAATGCGCCATTGGTGTGCTCCCAATATGGTTTCTGTGTGTGCCCTTTGGGGTACTATCCTAATGCTGACGAGAGCTTATGCTTGGCTGGTGAGTTACTATTCAATACTTTATCCTTATTTCATCATCATCCGGGCCCCGATTGCGCTAAAAAATTGCAACTGCAACGCGACTGGCCTACGAACAAACATCTGCTGTTTTGACAAATCCGTATCGCAGTGTCATTTTGACAGCTACTGCAAATGAATCTGTAACGTAAACGGAATGCAACTGCGCCTTTGAGTAAAAGCTGACAGAAAGCGACTTTTTGTCAAACGCGAGTATTTACTGTGTTTTAGTAATTTTAGTTTAGAAATTAACTTTAATGAAAAGTGCATAAATCCTGTGTTTCGTCTTTGTTTGCGCGTGAACTTTACCGCGCTACCGAATTGCCCCTCGGCTGAAATGATAATGGAGTGTGACTGGAGTGTGGACTAGAGATGAAACGTGAGTGAATTGGAGACATTACAAATTAGCGCAATCGAGGCGCTGGTCATCATTTTAGTATTTTCTTCGGGAGGACGACCCCCTACATCATCTGTGATCCTATATTTTATCCATAATTCATCATCATCAGGTCAATGAGTCTCCACTGTTGGAAGATAGCTCCCCACTGGGTCAGATCTTTTCTCATAGATATCGTAAGAGGCGACTAAGGGAGAAAATTAAATATGCAAACATCAGGCCTCCCCAACCCGTCTGGCCAGCGTGGGGAGTGTAGGACAAATCCTCCATTTGCCTCTGGTATTAGAGAGGGTCGAGCTCCTGCAGTGAAGACTGAATGACCCGATGTTGATAATGACTTATCTGATAATGATGATGAAGAACAAGTTACTATAGTAATATTTAAAGAAATGACACTTGCTTTGATTACGCTAAGTACAGTGTGCTTACCATGAGTTTACGTTACGTGTGCTCGCTAGCGACTGCGTAAAAAAATGACATTAATTGTATGACATATTGTGCAGCGCCCCTAGCGGCTACTTTCAAGAAACAAAATCTCCATAGAGATTTTTGACGTTTTCGCTAGCGAGCACACCTAACGTAAACTCATGGTAGGTACACTGAGGTCCTACATCAAAAATCTCTGTAATTCCTTAGAATTGGGGTCACCATCAACACCAGAGCAGTGCGTTGGTGTGTTCACCGAGATCCGGGATGGAGTGTGCTCCTGTCAAGCCAACTTCTACTTCGATGACGATATGAGGACCTGCGTTAAAGGTAAACTTACTACAGACCTTTAGGAATTATGATCTAGATCTGAAAATCTCCTTGGGTTTTTCCTTGAGAGAGTATTTGTTTCTAAGTCGTGAGCATGTCCCAAAAAAGGTGACAGTTCAGTTCAAATGTCTCGACGTCGATTTTCAGCGGCTGCCACGCTTCAAGCCCTGTGAGAAAAGATAATGCCGTCACTGTCAAGATAGACCTGTGGATCAAAGTAAACTGGAAAAAACTGTGATGCACTGTTTTAGTTAAAATAACACTACAATGTTAGCAGCATTGTTGTATTTCGGCAGTTTGTTTAGATAGCAAGATCCTCTGTGACTGAGGATTCCGAGTAAAGCTCGATTCTTTCTTATCAGCATTATTTTATCATAGGTCAGATGCAGTTTTCAGCCTCTCTCTAGTAGACTAATCCAGTGGCGCCACTGCAGCACTTCCTCAAGCGCCTTGGAGGCGCCTTTAGGATCTCTGTATAGTAGGTATACTGGGCTCCACTAGAGAGAAGCTGAATCCTGCATCTCACCTGATAGTCAGCGATGATCAGGCCAAACTCTGATAAACGCTCACGGTAGTGTCGCTTCGACTGCGCTTTGGCAAGCGTCTCAGTGGCACCTGCAGCGCTTCCTCACGCCTCTAATTTGAAGGCGCCTTTAGGATCTCTGTATGGTAGGTATACTGGGCTCCACTAGAGAGAAGCTGAATCCTGCATCTCACCTGATGGTCAGCGATAATCAAGCTAAACTCTGTTATACAGTAACTTCGACAGCGCTTTGGCAAGCTCCACAGTGGCACCATTACAGCGCTTCTTCACGTCTCTAATTTACGTTCAGCAGTGGACGTCCTGTGGCTGCAATAATGATGATGTTATTTTATCTATCTCTGCTACAATGCGCCGCCAAGTTTGCTTGGGGCGACCACGTTTGCGTTTTCCTTGGGCCAATCCAGAGCCTGCTTGGAGATGTGATCGGCATCCTTTCGGAGCTGCAATGATGTTATTCTGTCTATCTCCAGCTGCCCGCATGATAACGGACGGCTGCATGACCGACGCCACCTGCCACACCTTCGGCGCCGCCTCCCGCTGCGGGCCGCCTCAGCAGTGGGGCTTGAGAAGCTGCGAGTGCATACCTGAGGATGCAGTGTGGGATGCTAGCAGAAGCATGTGCAGATTGTTCGCTGGTAAGAAACAATTCTAATTTCATTTTTTATGACCCCAATTAAATAAGTGGTGTTAAATAAGTGCCTATTCACTCTCGCCTTAAAAAGGCACGAGTTAAGTGTTAGGGAAAGACAGCAGGCAGCGAATTTCAGTCCCTGGCTGTTCTCATTATGAATTTCATTTATCTAATAGCTAAGTTATTCTCGATTTTTACTAGCACATCAAAGCTGATAAGATATAGGTAACTTGATTCACTAACTTCTCTATAATTTGAAAATTCTTCTCCTCTGATGTCTATCATTCTACAGTCAATAGGATCCAGAAGTACCAAGGTTTTGCAATAAATTATTGAGGATCGTAATCTCAACTTAACTATGTACAGTCGCGGAATGAAAAGGTTCGTCACCTTAGTGTCGGTTTTCGCTTGCACTAGGTAAGAATCAAACCTGCCAACATAACAGTAAAAGAAACAGTGCTGCTAACATTTAAATAAATATGACGTTTGCTAACGAATAAGGTTTTGCTTGTTTATTTTTCTATCTCATCAGTGCAATGCAATGATGACATTGACCAATTGACAATAGTTTTTTTTATTTAATAGAAATAATAATGGCAGGTTGAACCAACAAGAAGGTTTTAGTTTATCAATCATAATAATCTTCTTGACAAGATAATCGTCAAACAACTTTGATCTGAATAATTTTGAACTTTACTAACGAACAGTTAAAGATTATTTTCTCTAACTCGAGATTATTCTGTAACATAGTTTCAAAAGGTAATATGTGCTCGCGATTCGTTGAAGGAATCAATTTGAAAACTGACGAACCTTTTCATTCCGTGACTGTACCTACCAACTCCCTTGATTTTTTAGAATCCAGCAGAGATGTAAACAAACACTTTCATACACAATTACACCATAATCACTACGTGTTCATAATATCATACACACTATTTAACAAGCCCATGAAACCAACTTTATTTTCACGTTTATACAAGTTTCAAATCAATCTTTGAAACAAATTATTTTAGCAAAATACGTGGACGATGAAAATTTGTGACATTGTCAAATTGACTTGACGTTTAAAATCATGTGTTATCTCCATATTGTCTATGACTTGTCTCTGACACATCAGTGCCGTAACCTGTGAGTCATAGACAATAATCTGTAAATTTAATCGATATTATTTTAAGTATTCACTTATTCCGATTACTGATTAATTTTAAATAAAAAATATACGATACTTTGCTTAGTTTTCCAGCGATAACTTCGACAATATTGGAGATAACGTAAATTTATTTTTCTACTTTTAGTGTTTACTTTTTCGGAGTCAGTTTAATTTTTAGTCGGTTTTATTTAAACGAAATTATTTTACTTTTTTATGCAATTATATGCTTACGTATTGTTCCATTGTTTATTTTTAAGAAAATAAAAAACTTCTTTCAATGAGGGTTTTCGCGATTGAAAAATCCGCCAGATGGCAATACGTAGACGCGAGGTCCAAATGCTGCATGATTGGTTATTTTTGACATGACATTGACAGATATGTCAAAATCCACCAATCACGCAGCAAGCAACAGCAGGCAACAGAAGTTTAATAACTTTACGGATATCATTGATTGTTTTACTGTCCAGTGTGCTTTTTGATTACATCTGTGCATACAGTTTGTTTCCTGTTCTCGAAAATTTCATAATCAGTTCACATTCAATGTTGCGACTTTGTTGCATATTTTTAGTATTTTGACGATCACCCGGCGATGATACGCAAGTACTACAACATTTCACTTCGCGATTAACGAGAGGTTTTGTCGCATCACTAGTTCACAGACTAAAAATATTTTTATGTCAGTTGGCCATATTTGATGACATTTCTGCTGATTTCTAAAAAATTAGACTATACACTTAAACATTTCGCTCAAATGGAAATGTCTACATCAGAGAATAGCCCCATTTGTACAGAGTGCAAAGTTTGGTACAGTGGCGTACTAGCTACCAAAATGGGCTAAGTGTACCTGTAAGCTTAGGGTGCCGTCGTTCTCTGACCAGTAAGCCTCGTATCTGGCTAAAAATTCTCCACCAATTTAACCTAAGCAGCTTAGACAGGGTCCTAGATTATACCAGGTTCTTTGGTTACCTAGCTAGATTCCTGCTTCGCTCTGAACCTAACCGTCCATCTCTTTCCTCCACCAGGTATCGGAGACTGTGCGAGCTAGACAGCGCCAGCTTAACTTACAATCTGAGCTAATCGTCCATCCCTTTCCCCCACCAGGTATCGGCGAACTGTGCGAGGTAGACAGCGACTGTCTGGCCGGTGAGCTGGAGATCCAGTGCGTTAAGAACGAACAAGGTGAAGGGTTCTGCAACTGCCCCGAAGGTTTCGTGGCCCAGGATGGACTCTGCCTTACTTTGGGACTTGGTGAGTGGACCTATTTTACTACTTTTTTATGCATAACAGACATAGGAAAAGAGTCTTGCTGCCAGACACTACCAGTCGTCTTAACCGCCTCTGTGGTCTAGTGGTAAGACCACCTGCTTCAGACGCAGAGGTCTCGGGTTCGATTCCCAGTGGGGGCAGATTTTTCTGTTCGGTTTGGTTGGTGGTAGGGCTTGTTCTAAGTCCGCCTGGCTAGCTACCACCATCTTACCTAATACCTGATGAAAGTGATGAATTTTGAAAGGTGGCACCCGATTGTCCGGAAAGGACAAAAAAAATCCGTTGTCCGCAGAAGAAACGAGCGATTCTTTCAAAAAAGCATTGTTTGTTAGATCGTTTATTTAATTTTCACCCACGAAGACGCGCCCCACCAATTTTTGGTCGAGGGAATTGCGGGCGCGGGGAGTATGATCCGAGCAATCCGAGCGTCATGGGGCACACACCGTTGATTATTCGTCGGCCGATAGTTTAGTCGGGCAGTTGATCACCACCACCCATGGTTCTTCCTGCCTCACGGCGTACGAACCGAATCTCGGGAGAGCGCGCGGGTACTTGCTCTGGGCTTTTTTCCCCGGGCGCTTTGCTTGACTCCCTACAAATTTATCTGATCCATGTCCCTTCTCATAGTCAATTCTCCCCCTATCAGTTGATCAGTATGGGCATGTATGGGAGTGCGCACACTACGCCGATTCGATTTGGCCGATTCTTCATACCAATTAAAATCGGGCACAACTATCGGACAACTAAAAATCAACGGTGTGCGCCTAAATTCTTAGCGTATACCGATAATACTCAAACATTAGCGGAAGAATGGTGGGGCGCGTCTTCGTGGATGAAACGATCTATATTAGGCTATAATGAAAAGACTTTACTATCATAAAAAATTGCGTCAATGACTGTTGAATCATATCCGAGACCGAAAGTATTAAAAGATAGTATTGATAACAACAGTGTAATATCAACTCGTCATCGTTAATAAATTCGTACTACATTTAATGGATTGTTATTTTATAGGAAAGTGGTGACTGAAAACCATTTTCATGGATTTTTTTAAATTCATATAAATAACGTTAAGATTCCAATTTGGTCAAAATTGGTTTACCTATGTTACACAGCGTTTTTCAGGCGTTTTACATTAGGTTTCAATAATTTCTAATGCTTTTTTCAGGTTTTCAATAGGCTATTGTGTTAGTCAACAAAGAATTGTGTTATGGTTTCTTGCATTGAAAACTACTTCTTTTGATAGTGAAATTACTTTTAATCTATCAGTACCAGATATGTAGCTAGACCGATGTTAATGATAATAAAAGACTAAGTATTGACTCCAGTCAAAACAAGTTTGCTTCCAAACAACAAAGTAATTAATTTTTTTTTGTTCATTGTACATTGTCGATGGCACGTTTAAAGCGCGCTCTACACTCGCGGCGCGAAAGGCCGCGAAAGCCGCGAAACGCGTGTGTAGATGGTTTCGCGGACTTTCGCGCGTTCACGTTCACGCTTCGCGCCGTTCCCCGTTCGTTGTCGGTTTTTTGTCCCGCGACAAAGGTTCGCGCTTGGTTCACGGCGCGCGATCGCGAACGCAACTACACTCGCAGTTTTTCGCAATAGCTGAGAAGACGCCGTCGCAAATGGTTGTGCATTATTGCGTACTTACTAACGTTCTTTTTTTTTAAATGAGTAGGTACTAGGCATGGAATAATGAACTTAAGTTGAAATTTATCGAGTGTTTTCAATCCGAACCAATACTTTGACAGTCCAAACACAAGGACCATAAAAATAAGACCCACTATGCCTGGACGCGGATAAGTGACATTTTGAATATTCCAGTCCAGTTATAGAACCTATAGAAAGAAAGTTAAGGATTCCACTCATAGTGGAGCAAGCTCAAGTGAAATATATGTATAAACCCATTAAACATTTTTTATTTGTGTCTTATTTTTAATACATAGGTAATTGTAATACGATATAGCACAGAGCGTCAACGCAGCAACAATCACGTCGTCATCCATTGAGGCCGCGAACGAGACTGCGAGGTTTCGCGAGTGTGGAGAGACACATATAAACGCGAAGTGCACGGCGCGAATCGCGGCGTGAATTCACAGCAAGAATCGCGCGCGAGTGTAGAGCGCGCTTTTTGAAGGGACGCGCGCTGGTAGCTTGAGGAGCTTTTCCAGCTTCACCGGGCAGAGTGGCGAGTACAGAAGGTACTCTAGCCGTTTGGCGATCGTCGGTGCGCGTGCCGACGAGGCCGAGTGTGGGCTTCGCGCGAAGCCCAGGCTCGTCCGCGTCGGTCGCAGACCGACGTTCGCGATCGGGCCGTAAACGTTCGCGATCGGGCCGTAAGGTTCGCGATCGGGCCGTAACGAGGTTTCGCGAGTGTGGAGAGACACATATAAACGCGAAGTGTACGGCGCGAATCGCGGCGTGAATTCACAGCAAGAATCGCGCGCGAGTGTAGAGCGCGCTTAACACAGCGTTTAATGAATGGACTTCAGTATTTTTTTGTAACTGATCCGGTAATCTTCAATTCTTCATATCGCCAGTAAAAATGCAGCCAATAACATTAATATTGTTATTTATTCCAACAGAGCTCGGACAGACTTGCCAAATCACTGCAGAGTGTACCGGCACCCCCAACACGATATGTGCCAACAGTGTGTGCTCGTGCGATGTGGGATACGAGCAGTTTGGCGATATTTGTGCTCCTGGTAAGTTAGTTTAACACCTTTTTTCATTTTACACTTACGCCCGTATTCTCAAACATTACTGTGAGGTCTCACAGTGCATTTAGACGCACAGGGTGACACACGAACCAATCACAGAGCCCTATTCAACGCTGTCCGTTCGATTTGCTGATTCACCGTTTCTGAATACGGGCGTTATTCTCTTACATGCAGAACAAGGACAATCACACCTTAAGCCTAATAAAATTTGCACCACCTAACTCTAACCGTAACTATAACGATAACCGATTCTTGATGTATGGAGTTTGAAATACGGTGTTTGCAAAATCACAGATTACGTTTAACATCTTTTAAAGAGGCCCTGGGCAAGTGATAAGTGCCCAGTGTCCAGTAGGAAAGAGAAACCTACTTTTCCTCCTTTACCTCTGTAAAGGAGCAAAGGAGGCCCTCTGTCGTGCTCCTGCGGAAGACTAAAATGACCTGATGATAAGTCATGAAGGGAGGGAAACTTCTTTCAGCACCAAAATCGGTCGGATCAATAAACGGGACTATTTCCATCTCTCGTTCCCACCGCTACAACTCCTGTGTAGCCAGGATCAGTAGCGTGACCGCCAATAAAAACCCAACCAGCCTGATCTAATGAAGATTAAATTTATCTACAGTTATCGGTGGGACCTGTGCTTCGGACTCAGACTGCGTTATTGATAACACAGTATGCACGAGTTTCACCTGTCAATGCATCACTGGCTTCGTCGAATACAACGACATTTGCTGGACAAGTAAGTACCTATTATTTTCAATTATTGGTTTAGTGATAAGACCATTATACAGGGTGTCCCGTAATGTAACGTCAAGCCGGAACTGGGTGTTGAGGCAAGTTGTGCTGGTTATCAGAAAAATATAAAAAAAAAATATGTGACATATTTTAAAAATAATAGGCATTTAAAAAAAATCAAAAAAATCTACTCCAGGTGACGGTCCTTTTACTCGTGTTGCCACAAATCTTCACTTTTTCCAAAATTTTTTTTTGTTATGTAACCCTGAATAATGCTTCTCTAAATTGTTATTAAAATTACAAAACCAGCTGCTAAAACTTGGATGAAAAAAATACATTATTCCCAAAAAAAATATCAAAATAAAAATTTTGCCTAGTTTAAACTGACTGTACTGAAAAAAAATTGTACTACGCGAGTGTGGCAAGTGACGTCATAATTTGGCGCATTTAGTAAGGATTCCAAAATGGTACAACACTTGGTAAATTTTTGCTGTGATTGTCGACAATTTTTGTTTTTTTTTGGAAATAGTCCCGTTTTTAACTTTATCTACCTTGGTTAAAAATATTATTCTAATGTGCCCAAAATTCAAGTTTCTGCCTTAAGTGAGGTGGAGAAGCCATTTTAAAAGGTATGAGCGGGACGGAGAGGGCCATCTTACCAAGCAGGGATGTTATGGATATCCGTAACCGTAACCGAAACTATCGGATATCCGAAATAAAAAAATGTCCATAACCGTAACCGAAACTGATTCAAAAGTTACGGATAGTTTCGGATAAAGGCCAAACTGCAAAACTCTATGAAATCTGCAGTATACACGCCGCAGCTGCAATGCCGCGCTGCCGATTTCATAGTTTTGCAGTTTGCGGTTGCAGTTTGCGGTCTGCGGCCCGTCTTGGAATTGTACCTTAAATCTTAATATTTGTTACCAACTTGTCTGGCATTCGCTGGCACCATCTAATATGCCAGCCTGTTTTACCTTTATCATACATAGGTGTCGTCTTAGTTGGTACATAAAGTAGCTATGTGGGTCACGCTCACGCAGCATCTTGCTATTTGTATTATACCTACATTTTTGAAATTCTAATAATTCCGTAACCGAAATTATCCGAGACTTTCGGATAATCTGAAATGATTTCATATCCGTGACCGTAACCGAAACCGGTATAATATTATTCTAATATCCGTAACCGTATCCATAACCGAAACTTCATATCCTTATTATCCCTGTTACCAAGTACAAGTGCAGGCAGAGCAGGTAGTAAAGGCGCGCGCGCACGGGTGACTTTTGTCACAGTATGTCAACTACTAATTACTGTCATGGTGACAAAAGTTTCTGTGACTGACTGTACGGTAGTCAGTCACAGAAACTTGAATTTTGGGCACATTAGAATAATAATTTTTAACCAAGGTAGATAAAGTTAAAAACGGGACTATTTCCAAAAAAAACAAAAATTGTCGACAATTACAGAAAAAATTTACCAAGTGTTGTACCATTTTGGAATCCTTACTAAATGCGCCAAATTATGACGTCACTTGCCACACTCGCGTAGTACATTTTTTTTTCAGTACAGTCAGTTTAAACTAGGCAAAATTTTTATTTTGAAAATTTTTTTGGGAATAATGTATTTTTTTCATCCAAGCTGGAGCAGCTGGTTTTGTAATTTTGATAACAATTTAGAGAAGCATTATTCAGGGTTACATAACAAAAAAAAAATTTGGAAAAAGTGAAGATTTGTGGCAACACGAGCAAAAGGACCGTCATCTGGAGTAGAATTTTTGGATTTTTTTTAAATGCCTATTATTTTTAAAATATGCCACATAGATTTTTTTTTATATTTTTCTGATAACCAGCACAACTTGCCTCAACACCCAGTTCCGGCTTGACGTTACATTACGGGACACCCTGTATAAGTCCCGGGTTAGGAGAAAGCTTGCTTAGTGGTAGCACCACCATCTTTCATACCTACGTCTGTCGCCATGAAAAATTGTTGTGTTACGGCAGCTGGAGGTGAAATGGCTATTGTTCTGTGGTGAATCGAGTGAAGCATGTCACCATAATATTGTGAAACTAACCTTTTTTATGGGGTGAAAATGTGTTGAATCGCATGCCTACCCTACGGGGACAGGGTAGGTTATGTGGGCTCACCCAGTCGTGGCATACCCACTAAAAAGACCCCGGTGCTCTGTCACTCGCCATAAGTGGGAGGAAACTGTGGGTTTCCAGACAAAGCAAGTGGTAGAGCCACAAAAGCCTTTTCTCCCACAGTGGAATCTATTCTAACATAACCCATTATTAGTTGACAATCTACACAAATACCAAGTCTCGGAAAACTTTCCAGGTGAAACTACCAAATGACTGGACTATGATGTTAAGCCCCTTAAAGTTTGCGATTGCAACTAAACAACAACTCTATGCTGTCCGAGAAACTGCGAAAATTTTAGCATTCTTTTATCTTTTGCGATAGGTATTTGATGTCACACTAATTCTCTCTCAGTCCCGTAGCTTTCAACTCTAAAAATATCTTTTTCTCAGCATCTGGCATGGGGTTCGACGCGCCTTGCAACGTGTCAGCCCAGTGCGCTGCCGTGATGGTGGGCTCAGCCTGCATGGACGGCACTTGTCAGTGCGCTGACACTCACCACTTTAGGGACGGCGGCTGCTGGCCAAGGACTGGTAAGATTCTTAAACATTTTTAGTAACATCTCAAATTACATTCTATTAACTTGAAAAAATCGAATTTCTTCAGGTGGGACTCGAACCCACGACCCTTCACTTGCCAGGTCACTGCTCTGATCTCTAAGTTACTTAGCTGGGTTCGGTGGAAACCTTAGTCAACTCGATTTTTTCAAGTTCTTACGCCCGTATTCATAAACCATGCTTGCTTAAGTGAAGCAGCAAATCGAACGCACAGCATTGAATAGAGCTCTGTGTTTGGTTCCTGTGTCACCCTGTGCGTCCGCGCGCACTGGAAGAACTCATAGTAATGTTTGTGAATACGGGTGTGAATCACGACTGAATCCACCGTTTGGCCCGTCTTATCAAAAGGTTGAGCAGCCTCGCCTTACAGGATCACTTTGTATCAATCTTACCTTTTCCTTATGAACGCGTGGAGGTGTAAAGCTGAAATTTGAATATCAAATACTCGGGTCTACTGTCCCATGGAGCTGGGAAAAAAACAATCTAACTAAGTCACCCACAAGGTGGATTGACGACCTCATAAAGGTAGCGGGAAGGCGCTGGATGCAGACCGCCATCAACCGGCCATTGAGGAAATCATTGGCGGCAGTTCTTTAGTGGACGTCCTGTGGCTAAAATGATGATGATGATGAACTAAGCCACAAATTTTGGACACTCGTAAGGGAATGAAAACCTAAATCAAAACCCGTGAACTCAAGAATCTTGGAAAAACAGCCAGAAAACCAAAAGTTTGTGTTAATTGAACTAGGTTTTCTGGAGCGCCTCTAACTATGGGCGTGCCTCAAGGATCAATATTAGGCCTTTTACTATATCTTATTAATAATAATGATCTATCTTATCTATCTATCTTTCCAGGTCTCTTCCAATCATGTTCCCGAAGCAGCGAATGCTTTTTAGAAGACCTAATAGACCGTGTGCAGTGCAGGAACAGTCTCTGCCAATGTTCCTTCGACTACCCTTACTCTGAAGAACTGGGCACTTGCAGTAAGTAAAACAGTATTTTTTGCGTTCGTTCATTTCAGCCAAATGACGTCCACTACTGAGAAAAAACCGTCAAGGATTTCCATAAAGACCGGTCCTGCGCTGCCCGCATCCAGGCGCTTCCCGCGATCGTCCGTCCACCTAGTAGGAGGCCTGCCCACACTGTCTTCCAGCACGTATAAATATAGACGTAACTGACTCTCATTCAAGTCCTCCTTTAGTTCTTCTGATTAATTTCATTGCGGGACCAATCACAGTTTAACTTTCCCTGGGATAAACTTGACCTTCACTGGTTGGGTTATTGGCGGTCAAGCTGTAGATCCTGGCTCCTCAGGAGTTGCAGCGGTGGAAACAAGAGATAGGAATAGTGAAAGTAGTTAGATCTTATTCATCATCATCATCACATCTCAGCCATAGGACGTCCACTGCTGAACATAGGCCTCCCCCAATGTTTTCCGTGTTACTCGGTTGGTAGCGGCCTGCGTCCAGCGCTTTCCTGCTACCTTTATGATGTCGTCGGTCCACCTTGTGGGTGGACGTCCCACGTTGCGTTTTCCGGTACGCGGCCTCCACTCCAGAACCTTGCTGCCCCATCGGCCGTCAGTTCTGCGTACTATGTGCCCTGCCCATTGCCACTTCAGCTTGCTAATCCGGCGGGCTATGTCAGCGACTTTAGTTCTTATTCACTTTTTTAATATTCTTTTTTATTTTCAGGATCATCAGCATCTTCTATCTTTGGAAGCTCCATCGTTTTGGTCACAGCTTTAGCCTATATGATTTTCAGTTGAATTTTTTAATAATTTGAAATTATAATTGTGATATAAACGTTAGTTAGATGATGAATTTGTTTCTTTTATGTAAAGGGCAGGAGAGAAAAGTAGGGTACCAATCAATTGATACTTTTTTTATACCATAATTGATAGAAAAAAGGGTTCCGTAACCAACGTGAATAATAAATTACTTTTTGCCTGCGAGACGCGAGCTTATCGTATAAATTTCAATAAAAAGTTGCATAATAAGCAACTTTGTGCAACTCTATATAAAATGCTAGTGTGTTAAAGTTTCATCAAAACTCGTCCAGAAAATTTTTTGCGTGATGGAGTTGCACAAAATTAAATTACACAGAGATTTTCAATGATGTAGGTAAATATCTGACTAGAAATTAGATTCGTGTGCCTTATAAATAATTTAATATTCAAATGGTTTACCATTAACGTTAGATCTAATTTATTTTTAATGTTATTTTTAATGTAAGTTAAAATTAAAATCGTTTTTTGGTATCAATTTGTTTTTATTTACAAAATAAGTGAATTAGTTTATTCAGTTTTACATCGTAAGTTTTACCTCGTAAATATCCTTCCAACGACCTTAAAGGAACCAGGGCAAGGACAAATACATTTCTATAGCTACGTCGTTACATGACACGAAAACAATGTAAAGGGTCAAGCCTTTACGTTGTAGCGACTGTTTCATCATCATCATTTCAGCCACAGGACGTCCACTGCTGAACATAGGCCTACCCCAATGATTTCCATATCGCCCGGTTAGTAGCGGCCTGCATCCAGCGCCTTCCTGCTACCTTTATGAGGTTTTTTTACGCTGAAGATACTTAACTATATCATCATCCATCATCAAGCGTTGAACTCATAGAGAGGATAGTAGGATATCCACTGCTGAACATAGGCCTCCTCCAATGGTTTCCACATCGCCCGGTTGGTAGCGGCCTGCATCCAGCGCCTTCCTGCTACCTTTATGAGGTCTTTTTACGCAGAACATAATGATATATCATCAGCTTTCCGGTACGCGGCCTCCACTCCAGAACCTTGCTGCCCCATCGGCCGTCAGTTCTGCGTACTATGTGCCCTGCCTATTGCCACTTCAGCTTGCTAATCCGTCGGGCTATATCAGCGATTTTAGTTCGCTTACCGCGCCTTTCTGCTATCTTTATGAGGTCGTCAGTCCTCATAGATAGGAACGGATTTTTACAATCTGTCTCGTAGATAGGATGGGATGTCCACTGCTGAACATAGGCATCCCCCAATGATTTCCACATCACCCGGTTGGTAGCGGCCTGCATCCAGCGCCTTCCTGCTACTTTTATGTGGTTGTCAGTCCATAGACAGGAATGAACTTTTACAATTTGCTTGAAAATGCAACCAACCACCCTTTATTTACCGTTCGAAGAATCTAAAGTATCGTCACAGTTGCTAGGCAACGGTGACGTCACAAACGTACGTCAAAGGTGCGTGTCGCGGCTAGAAAGAACACTTATCACGTGAGTAATGAAAGCACATGTAGAAGGCTCGTAAAGTCTGCCAGAACCACACTGTTAACATCAGGCCTCCCCAACCCGTCTGGCCAGCGTGGGGAGTGTAGTGTAGGCCAAGTCCATTTGCCTCTGGTATATTAGAGAGGGTCATGCTCCTGCAGTGGAGAATAAATAAATGATTCAACTGATAGATTTTTTTTGTTTTAAAGATTTATTAGTAATTTGTCATTACACAAATTACTAATACTCCCGTTAGCCCCTCGTACTAAGCTTAATATGCTTGTACAGGGTGGCCCAGAAGAAAATTCACTTTTGAAAATTCAAGGAAACGAAAACTGTAAATTTTTGTAGAACTTTAACTATTGCAATTTAAAGGAAATTTTGTGCAATTTTTTTTTAATTTACTTTCTTTTATAAATTTTATTGTACATGTGATTCCCTTGACGTTTACAACGTTCGGTCAACATACATAAAAATTTTGGAAAACTTTCGTTAGAGTTGCCTCGAAATGGATTCAAGATGAATGAATGCTGCAGAGTTTTTGGATTATGAGAGTACACTCTGCTCATAAGGTAACCCCACAAAGAGAAGTCTGCTGGAATGAGATTAGCGCTTCTTAGAGGCAGTGAGATTTTGGTTTGTTGCATTGAAAGGATGATTAATTTTTGAGAGCGCTATACTGGTAGGCTGAAAAGCTTTATGATATCAAAGCTGCAAGATTCGCAAGGCTATGCCGGAGCACTTGGTTTCATCAAGATGGGGCTACGTGTCACACTTCAAATGAGAGCATTTAGAAGGTCAGAGACATGTTCCCACAAAAAAATTTTTTCAGGCAGAGGTGACATCTTCTGGCCACCAGGAAGCCCTGATCTCACTCCAGAAAATTCTTTTTTGTGGTGATATATTAAGAATAGAGTATACTTTTATAATCGAACAACCATGCAGCAACTAAAGCTGAGCATTCGGCAAAAAAATGAAAATAGGTTTCGAGGTAATTCTAACGAACGCATTTCAAGATTTTGATGTATGTTGATCGAATGTTGTAAGCGTCAAGGAAATCTTCTGGGCGATGTAATTTAATAAAGGTAAATTTAAAAATAAATTGCATTAAATTTCCTTTGAATTGCAATAGTTAAAGTTCTATAAAAACGTACAGTTTTCGTTTCCTTGAATTTTCAAAAGTGAACTTTCTTCTGGGCCACCCTGTATCACGAGTGAGCTCACCACAATAGCCGCCGAGCGGCGGCGGGGACCGAACCCGCGTTCTCCGGATCACGAGTCGGCCAGTCCGACCCCTTCACCGTTCGGCTATCGTGGCTTTTGTGGCAATGAGGGCTATCGTTTTTATACTTAACAGTTGGCACCCCTGGCGATTGACAGGACCTTACTCTACAGTGGCGCCATCTTGTTGAGTGCAAATGCGATAGTCCTCCTACCACTTTCGCGCTCACCAGTTGGTGCCACTGTCTTCGCTACGAGCAAGTGACAGGACCTTACTCTACAGTGGCGCTAACTGGTGAGCGCTAAAACGATAGCCCTCATTGCGGGAAGCGTTAAATGCGAGCAGCGCAGGACCGCTCGTTATGGAAATCCTTGGGGAGGCCTTTGTCCAGCAGTGGACGTGTCTCCTAGCTAAAGAATGAAGAAGGAATAAAGATCATAGCAGATTTATCAACTCGGAAAGGGATCAACACCGTCTCGCCTTTTGCGCGCTGTCAACCGCGAGGCGAGGCGTTTACATTATGGTGCGTCCAGACTGGGCGAATTTGCTCGCGCGGCACGCTGGTCATCCTGCTCGCTCTGCTCTTGAGTGAGCAGGATGTTGAGTTTGCCGCGCGAGCACCATTAGGGCTATATTTCACCGGGACAACATGGCTGCGCAACCAGTCGCCGCTACCAACAAAATGTATGCAGGCGCAACCAAACGGACACCAGGTGAGTAACTCTCTATAGAGTCGTTGTTGGTAGCCGGCGACTGGTTGCGCCGCCATGGAGTGTGCGTTGCAGTATGGAGTTTCATACAAAGAATACTGACAGCCTCAAGTTGATACGGTTACGATCCCTTTCCAGGTTGTTAAGTGTGCTTACGTGTTACGTCCTTTATTTATCCGTAGACTAGCTTTATTTATCCGTAGATTAGTATGCAGTATGAAGGCAGGACAGAAGCTTGACTTAAGGTCCTATGTCCCCTAGATGGGGCAGAGGGCGTCCACAACAGTCCTCCATCGCGTTCGGTCTTGAGCTTCGCGTTTGATCTCGCTTCAAGTCTTGCCGATCTTCTTCGCCTCGTCTGCAGTGCGCCGCCAAGTTTGCTTGGTTCGACCACGTTCCACCAGGACAGAAGCGACGTTACTTATTTGCGATATATTGCGACGCGTACGCATTTAGAAATTTGCATATAGATTCATCATTCTATAAATAAAATCTACGGTCTATTCCGTGAAACTTGATACAAATCTTTGCTATCGTATTGATTGAAATCTAGATTTGAACTTAATTAAAATTATACTTCGAGTGACGAGTTTCTTGCGCTGCTTCTTCTCAACATTGGCCCATAATTATTATTGTCCCGAAGCAGTGGCAGGGTTGGGACGTGTAAAAGTGTTCTTTAGGAGACTACTTGCAAAAAATAGTTACGGGACTATTCCCACCTCTCGTTCCCACCGCTGCAACCCCTGTGTAGCCAGAATTAGCCTGCAGAATCTACAGCTTGACCGCCAATAAAAAATAGTTAAATGAATTTGATTTTTAATTGCTTTTGATCCTTATGGGGTGACAAAACAGTAACATGCTAAAGCATGCAACCATACCAAAGGCGACTGAGTTTCTTCAGCCACTTCGAGCACCAGCCGATATGTTGCCCTGCTGGCGGTGTAGGGTAAGCTAAGTATTTGAGACAAAATCAAACAATCATGCTCTGAAAAGGGGCCTACTTACATACCTATTAAGAAATAAAATAAATGGCTGTAGATGAACAAAGTGGAAGATCGTGCATTATTACGCTCTTTGGTTACTTCCAACTTCAGATCATAGAAGGGAGAGAAGAGATCCCTTCTGTGATCTGCCTTAAGAATGATGATGATGAGTATCCGTTATGTCTACTCAACCTCAAAAAAGAGTCGTTCTTGCTTGACTGACTGGCAGAAAAACTCTTTTATAAAAGCCTGGTTTCCACCAAAGCGGAGAAGAGAGGAGATGTGTTTGAATAATCGAAGCTGAGCGGAGAGATGATGTCGAAATAATGAAATCGGATTGGTTATTCAAACACCTCTTACGAACATGAGTATGGAAGTGCGCACAATACATCGATTTGGTATCGGCCGATTCCTCATACAAATCAGAAGCCGACCAAACTATGAAGTCTAATTCTAAGGGTTCTTTCTGCTTTTAAGGTGAAGAATCCTAGGTCGTAACCCTAAGTATATTTCTCTATAATTCGGGCAGTCACGCTGATCAATACATGCCCCCAGTGGTACTAGTAGGCCTCCGTCATGATTGTGCCGTGAGTTACGACGCCGCAGCACGAGGGTCAATGACTTATCAAGATGGTAGGGTGACCAAACCCCATGGTTTTATGGGCTCTTTCCCACGGAGAAATGGCGTTTTTTTGCAGAATTCCGTTAGGCACTAGCATTGTAGCCGGAGGGGCTCCGTAACATTTAAATGGCTGATACGCTGGTAGCAAAGCAACGCGCTTGATTCCATACCTCAGGCACTTTTCGTACTTTTTTAATTTAATTGGTCTCGCCAACGAAAAAGGCCTTTTTCAGGGTAATCCAGTTTTTTGCAGATAAGTAACTACGACATTTTAATTTTTGCGGTACGGGTGTTTGCAAAAAACTGTATGCAGGAAGTTGCTAATGGGAACGCATGAGGTGAGAGGTGGGAATAAGTAGTCCCGTAGAACAGTCAAAGTCAAGTATTCTCTCGCTCAATAAAAACTGTCAATGACTTT